ACTATTTAACCCCGTATGATTCGCTCCATGGTTTTTAATACTACCGAAGTCAATTTGACGGGTCGGTAATTTGTGCAGTTCTCTCTATTTGCCTCTTTGTAGATTGGAGTGATAGTTGACACCAACCAGTCACCAGGGAATCGTCCTTCCTCCAGTGATGCATTGAACAGTCGTGCAAGCGGTTCNCATAGATACCACCAGTCTGTGTAGGTGCTCTTCTACGTTCCTTGGTTCTATGCACACCTCTGGCATGGCCAACTGCGTGCAAACTCCAACGGACCTACCTGGGGCACCTAAATCCCTCCTATAGGTGGCCTGATAGAAGTGGTACAGGATGTTGGCCTTCTCAAGGCTGGTTAATGCTGCTACTCCATCGTCATCCCTAACACATTCCACAGCACCTCTCAGTGCAGTCTTTGACTGCACGTACTTGAAATAGGCTTTGGGGTGGGTTTTCGCATGTAGGGCCAAACTCTCCTCATACCTGTGTGTATTTCTCAGTAACGCGCAGAGAATTGAAATTGTCCTCAAAAGCTACTTGTTATCTTCCAATAATTTTAAATGTGCCATTGATGCATCAAATATTCCTAAGTTGTCTCATCTTAAGGACAAACGGAGGTAGACTAGAAGAATACTTTCGAGTGTAGAGGTCTAGTGGTAATTCAGTCTTCAGTATTGAGGACAGAGGGCAGGGTGCCCGTGTAAGCTCCATCACCACTGTGTCGAAGGTCCGATCACAAGTGTTCGTTCCTCCATTGCCCCTTCAGGTGCTCATCCAGATGCCGTTTGAAAGCAGCGTTTGTCTTCTCCTCCACCACATTCGCTGAAAGGGAATTCCAGAGTGTTGTTGACCTCCGTGAGAGTCGGTAGACCAACTCACTGAAGCTTCCGCAACGTGAGGAAGTGCCCCCACGTGCGGTCCTCTGTCCGTAAAACGAAGTACTGTTGCACCTCCGGGCCCATATCACCTCAGCATCTTCCTCAGACAAATGGGATCTCCTCTGAGGCGCTAATGCGCAACTGCGAGTAGACCAATAGCCTGTAGATGACCTTCATAGCTGGTCCCGCGTCGTCTAACAACGAGTCTAGTAACAGCACGTTGTACACCCTCCAACTTAGGCAGTTCACCGGCTGTGCAGAGGTATCTCGCTGCACCACCATCCTCAAGTCTTGGTGTGACGTAGGAAGCGTACAGCAGTGTAAAAGCGTCCATCGTGAGCCGGTTGAAAGATCTTCGAATAGGCCCCAGAATGCTCCATGCGGCAGCACAAACCTGATCGGTGTTTTCTCGGGTATTTAGTGATGACGTAACCATAACACTCAGGTCTCTTTCGCACGATGTTCTGCGCAGTGTGGTTCCCTGGAAGTTGTAGACTACCTTTGAGTCAGCACGCCCCAAGTGCAGGTAAGCACACTTTGCGATGTTGTCTGCCCATTGAGCCGGGTTGTTCAAATCCGTTTGAAGAGAACTTCGATCATTCGGATCCTCGATTGTACGCCAGATTTTGCTGTGATCCGCATACATGAGGGATGGGCTGCGTAGTCGACTGGGCAGGTCGTTCACATAAACCACAAAGAGCAATGAACCAAGAGCCGAACCTTGGTGAACCCCACTGGGAGCGAAATACCACACAGGTGGCGATTTGCTAACACGGACGCAAAATGCCAGGTCGATGAGGAGGTCTCGCAGCCAATTCAGCATGACCATACCTACACCTAAGCTGGACAGCTTTTGTAGAAGAGGATACGTTGTCAAAGGCTTTTCTGAAGTCCACAAAGATGATACCCGTTTCCCGTCCTTTGGCCTTATCCTTGGTCCAGCATTCACGTGCAAGTAGCGGGTTCGGGAGGTACGAGCGACGCTGCCGGAAACCGTGTTTTTGGTGGCACAGGTGACCGTGGCACACTAAATACTGCCGAAGCCGTGCAGCCACCAGTGAATCCCTTACTTTTCCCACAACACTGGTAGGGCTATCTGGTCGGTAGTTTCTGGGGTCACTCCTCTCCCCATCTTTGGGTAGTGGAACGATGACAGTATCCTTCCACTGCCGCGATAAACGCCCTTGAGTGAATGACAAATTGATCAGGTTGCACAGTGGCACTGCAAGTTCATCTCCCAGCTCCCTCAGGATAAGTGGATGCACACCATCGGGTCCCAGTGAATGGTGAACCCTCAGCCGACGCAGCTCCAGGGCCACCTTTCCGATGGTAAATGGAGTTCAGCGCAGTGTCAGTGTCCAGTGGATGTGCCAATGTGCTGGAGTCTGGGGTGTACACTGAGGTATAATGCGATGCCANTGCCAACATCCCCGCTTTATCCCTATCTTTTTCGGCTAGTGCTCCGTCTTTGGCGAGAGTCGGGAGACTAGGCGTTGCTCTGATTCCTCGCCTAAGGTAGGCATACAATCGTTTTGGTGCCTGCACCGAATCCGCTGCGAGTCGTTCCTCGAATCTGGCTCCCTTGCATTTTTCAGTGCAGTACAATGATTCCGAATACGTCGAAATTCCTCATATCCTGCATCTGTTGCACGGTACCTGGACCAGGCTTTATTCCGCTACCGGAGGCACGCCCGTCGTTCTCGATTAAACCACGGCGGGCCCATAGCGTGTGTTTGGTGGCGGTAAGATTCAGAGAATTCCCTTACGAGTTGCTGGATTCTATGACGAACCAACTCCCAGGATACATCCACATCCTCAGGGTTCCGGGAATCCCAATTTATGAGCGACAGCCTGACGCATTTCCGGAAAGGATGAGCGCCGCACATTCCCTCCGTCCTGTGGTCTGTCTGTTTGGGGTACGTCACGCCTCCGGTGTATACGCAGAACAGTGTGATCACTAGATGCAAATGGTGGAAGGAGGTTAATCGTGGTCGTATCTGATTGCCTTGGCGAAAGCAACAAGTCAAGGATGGATTTTTGATCCCCAACTATCCGCGTGGGCACATGAACATGCTGAACAGAGGAGAGAGCCTGGACAGCGAAAAGAAGTTCTCTGGAAAACAAATCTGCGGACTGAGAGCAAATGTCAGTTTCCCAATCAATACGCGCGTTGAAGTCACTCAAAACAAGACAATGTCTGTCGCAGGTGTACCTCTGTATGCTGTCCAATAGCTCTGGGACGTACACAGCCGGTGTTCGATGGATCACTCCAACTGTGGTATACCCTCCGGCACAAAGTATGATTCTGTACCACAAGACTTCTCCAATTCAAATTAGGGGCAGACATCTTGATGTAGGCTAACTTTTCTGCGTTTTCTCCCTATTTCCACAGACAGCGAACAGGAAAAGAGCCAACGCAGGACAAGATCCCTAGAGAAAAAGACATCAATTGCCTACACTAAGAGAACACCAGCTGAAGCTGGTCAAACCTCGTGCGTTAAAGAGAGAAAATGCTAACTGCTCTCATAGAATGGTCAACACCCGAAATAGACTACCAAACGATGTTGTCTCGGAGTCCACGCTTGACCTGTTCAGAAAAGTGAAAAATGAAGTGTGGAACATTACCTTCCCCGAATCGATTCGTGCTGATCAGCCTAAAGGAAAAAAGATAGTCAGTCCTTTGTGGTAGCTCACATCTTTAGCTTTCCTAAAACCGTCCTCCCCCTCATCTCATTCATTATCAGCTGTGCCATCCCAATCTACTTCAAATACCTTTCACTTTGACTTAGTTTAACTCCAGCTCCCCCATACCCTCCTACCCGCACTAGCTCATTTTTCATCTTTCAAATTGTCTTCGCATGCCTGCGGGTTCTCTACTGTTTGATGGAGGACTATTCAGAACTCCCGTGGCTGGCTCCTTGAAACGGATAAGCCGGCTCCAGACATTATCATGATCAAGATCACGGAGTTCCTTAGGAGGTTAGTACGAGAAACGTCCCCAGCGTCACTGGGCGTTCTTTTTACTTTGAGGGCGCACCTCTAGCCTTAGCAAAGTAAAGTACAAACTGCAAGGTGGCAGGAAGTAATCCCTCGCCTCGGAAGTGAGGGGGTCAATGGCCTTAGTTTTAAAAGGCCAGTTACATCGACCTTTGTCACGACACCGTCATTGGGCTTATGCGAATCCTGTTTAAACAGGAACCAGGTGACCAGCATGAAACGTACAATTCCACGGAGGATTTATTCATGACATCAATTAATTCGCCACTTCTGCGAATTTAAGTATGCAGTGGATTATCCGATTTTGTTCGGGAGAAATTTGTGACCAACATACAAGCGAAAGGTATATTGATGCCACATGGTGAACGCCAGGTGTTTTACTCGATTGTACATCAGTGGAAATGTTGAATGTAAGATTGCCATACTGTTTATTTGATCATATGATGCCAGTTATTGAAGATGTATGCCGTTTTTGAGTTTACTGAGGAGGACTGTGTTGGCGTAGTCGAAGAGTTGGTCGATTGGGACCAACCAAACGTTTTGGCCTAAGATGGCCAACAACGGAACAAAGAAAAGATATCGGTACAGGTGAAAATGAGATTCGATTGCAAAATTGCCTTGATAAAGGTTACCCACGGTGACCGAAACGTCGGCTTATTCTTACCTCTACCGACGTGGCTGTTTTCACAATTACTACTTAGAGAATGCATTGAATCAGTTTTCAATTCAGTATGTACCATCATTAACCATGCATTTTCATGCGCCGGTTTTGGATGCCGTCTTTTGCATAAAAGAGCAGAATGAGGATTGGAATGCTGAGAGCTGAGTTAAAATGGAAATGGAGAATTCATATAGACTAGTGTTGCAGGGATATTGAGTAGATGCACGAGCGCCACTGTTTGCGACACCCAGACATATCACTGAGTGTTTCTATCCACCAGTTACCAAGATCTCAGAATCCCCATTCAGGGAGCCTAACAGGATCGTTTCGGATTGGCCTATTAAAGTGGTATTCTATCAGTTTTTTTTTCATTTTTCATTTGAGTGTATATCACGATGCTAGTTCGGTTTGAACTCTTTGGATAGTAATTCGTTAGGGACTTGAAAGAGAAGAGAGGCAGGGGGAAGATTGGGGCATTTTCCAGAGTCGGATGCAATTACAAGGATATCTCTCCACGTTAGAAGCTTTCAAGTCATCAACTTTTATCTGGCCTGAAAATAGTTTGACATCTTCAAGGCAACTGCAACTTTTGAGGTTGAGACGCGCCGAAAGTTTTCACTGGTGTTAGAGCGAGATTGCTTATGGGTTAGGACGAGGGTTCCATGAGGAAGATAAAAACAAAGCATTCGAATCACTATACCACGGTTTGCTTCCGACCAAGATAGATAGAGGCTATCGGAATAAGAGGTCAGATGTCCAAGGATTTCGTAGTCTTCCCGACCAAAACGTTTCACGTCCGGATCGGAGAATGGTAGAAACGATCCGTTTTTTTCTCTCGTTGTGGCTANTACGAATCTAATACTATGAGCACGACGCACAATTTCTTTAAAGACATGTTCCAACTGTGGATGTGATACCGTGAATGGTAGAAATGATTCTTAGTGGATTACCATAAGGATCTGCTCTTGTTGTACATAAATGATCTACCGGAAATCATTCTGTTGCCCAGTTTTGTTTGCCCACCATATCTAGGTTGTCACACGGAATGAGAGAACAGAATTGGGAAGAGCTATAGAAGGCATGCCTAAATGGGCAAATGTGCGGTACTAACTACGCAAAATATGGGAGTTATGCCTTGACCATGAAGGACGGTCGACTTAGGTTCGGAAACACTCGTGACGGTGTTGCACTAGAGGCGTTCTCGCAGGCCAGGTATGTGGGAATCATAATAATGTTCCGGCAAAGATGCACCAAACCAGAGGGGAACTCTATGAATTGCCATCCGCCTTGTCTGGCTGGAAACCAGAGGTATTTGTACAACTGTACAGAGACTTTATGCAGCCGCATCGAGAGTAATACACACGTGTCTGTGAACCGTGTTTTATGAATGACTTAGATTCTGTTGGGCACTCGTCGTAATCAGTTCACTTTTAGTAATCGGATAGACGCATCCCAGAGTTGTTTCTTTATGTTCAAGACTTATTGGTTCGTTATCAAACACAGACCAACTGCAGTTTGCGGTCTGTTTTCCCCAGTTTACATCTATTGGATGTGCATTGAACGAATCATATCATCATTTTGATCTCCAAATGTCAAATGCTGTGCCTACAATCTTCAAATCTTTGAAATTTTCAGCAGTAATCGTAAATAACTTCATTTCATGTGGATAAGATTTGGCACGTCACATTTGCATCGACCACCATTGTCCGTATTCTTTTTTGACAATGCCGAAGAAGAAAACTGGTCAACGAAAAAAGGCCGAAAAGGCACGAGCTCGCCGGAAAATGATGGATGCCCAGCGGTCCCATGTGGATCTTATTAATCATCCATCGAATCTTATTATGGTAGATCTGCATCTTCCGGTTTAAGTTATTTGATTGTTTCTTTTATTTCTCAAAACAGGAATGTGGCCAGTGTGGTAAAAGGCAAAAAAATCGGGCATTTTGCTACTTCTGTCAGTCCATTCAGCGACTGCCCATTTGTTGCCAATGTGGCAAACAAAAGTGCACCGGAAGACAAGGTGACTGTCTGGTGAAGCATCGTGCAGCCCATGCAACTGGTATGGCCATGGTTGTAAGTCTGTACATTGTTCATGCTCAGTAGTTATTATTATTATTATGAAATGTTGGCATAAATAAAAGGGCAGAAAAACTTACACGAAATAGGATGGTGGCGCAGTGGTTTAGTCGCTGTCACCGGCGTGCTTTGGACCCTATGGCCTGAGGTTCGAGCCCCGCCACCCGACTTTGGTGGTAGACAGCTCTGTCCGGTTCAATACCACTCATAACCTAGCGCCGGGCCGTATGTGGTTTGCCACTCCAAGTCTCGAGGCTTACGTTGCCGGTTTCAACCACTGAGTAGCAGGTCCTCGTGACTATGGGGTTGGCCCCTTCTGCCATTCATCACACTTAAGTGTAATAATAAAAGAGAATACCTTAGATTTTTTGATAGATCTGCATTGCACGTTTTATTAACTCGTTCTCAATGTTCAAAGCATACAGGCCTGTAAATTTTTGCCAAGCGTCCTTCTAACCGAGGTCTTCCATTGAACATATATTCCGCTTTGCATGATTTCCCGTTTTTCTGTAGGAGCTGCTTCAATGAATATTTGCACGACAGTGTATATGCCCTCGAATAGCCCCATCCATCAGGAGGACATTGGATCACGTCAAGTCAAGGTTCGCTTAACAGTGCTAATCAAAGCCTTCACAATATCAATTCGGTTTATACAATCGATAATCTTACATTCTGGTGTACCAGTTTGGATCGCTTTCTTTCGACTGCCCATGTGGTCCAGCGGGGGTGAACGAATAGATAGAAATAGAAAACAGAGAGCAAGTGAAGATGAAATAAGATGGCGAAAAAGTTGGGTAGATGGATGAGCGCCACTGGTCGCACTGCACTCCCATAGCACTCATTGTCTCTAACAATCGATGGGGTTGGCTACGAGGTCCCCAATATGGAAACCTAACATGACCTATCTAACCAAGTCCCCGGTAGGGATTTTCTCACCCTCATCCCAGATTTCATTTTGACCACTTTTAAACTTCTCCCAACCGAGACCTGTTTTGGTAAACATCCCACGACGAGATAATCTATCTGATGGTATGCGTAACATTCTCCGGTCAATGTAGTTCATGTAGGTTGAGCTTTTACGCTAGTGAGCGACCATTGTCTCCCGAAACTCAGCTCCTAATGTTTGCCTTGTTTTTTCGGCGTAGAAAGTGCTGTTTGAACACGGATAATTCATATGTTATTTTTCCAACGATCGATTTTCTGCACTAAATAACGGCACTGATTAAACTGCTGCTGCGTACATATTTGTGTAATTTTTGCGACGACTCTATAAATGGTTTGAGTTGGCCAACATCAACTGAGCTTTCTGTATGTCTGCCTTCTGTTTATCCGTACAGCGTCCGCCAGGTGTAATGTAGCTGCACAAATGGTGAAATTTCTCTAGTTTCTCTCTATTGTTTCCCACAGTGAAAGCGGTTGATGGCTGGACTGACCAAGTCGTTTAATAACATTTAACTCTTTGAAGATACATGCCACACATGTCAAAACTAGTTAGATTAACACATACCAACCCCGAAAAGCTTGTAACCTAACCGAAAATCCACTCCAGAGTACAATGTCCTGTCATATAAGAATCATGTTCACACCTCAGTCTTCGTATTGATGACCGTGCCTTGTCCGGATTTATGGTCATCGTAAAGTTGATGAGGATAGAGGACAACTCAGACACACACTGTTTCATTTTGTGATCTCGATCAAGTGAACTAACTGTAAGGCCATTCTCGGCTTCCACTTTTCGTTCGCAGACAACGGTCGAAGCAGAAAAGTGAACTTCTCGAATACACCTCTCAAGAGGAGAAACACCGCCAGAGAGCAATACGATTGATTCAGTCAAAGGCTGTTTGTTTAAATCAATAAAACAAAATAGAAGTTGTGAATCTACTGAGAATTTATGTGTTCCAATATCGAAACGGGAATATCTGATCGAGGCATCCGAATTGGCGCACCGTTCATCTGCGAACGACAATTAACGGAGAAAGATACGTGAAAGAAAGCTTCGAGGCGATGTTAATAAGGCCTATTCTCCTTCGGCTTTCACCAGGGTGTCTATCTTTTGTCTTGCTTATTCGTAAGAGAACTAATTTACAGACAACCTTGTGTAGATGAGCTCCTTTGGCGGCTAATAGAAATTTGATCAGTCTCACGATGGTAAGAGCGGGAAGGTTCCCATATTAGATGGTGTCGCCTTGTTCATGAGAACCAGTCTGTAGTCCCACAGATTTGAAGTAATCGGTCTTCATTGTCTTTTAGGTTGACTGAAATTTCATATGGGCCCTGTGTGAGGGTCTTTCTGCTCAATCCAGAGATTCCACTCATGTTCACACCATTCAGGAACCTAGCACGATCTATGCGAGCAAGTCTCCTGGTTAGAGGGTTTCATACCCTGACAGTTGGGCCACTCTGTTGTGGCCTGCGATCAGCTGAAACGTTCATCGCGCATCGCATCATTCAGGGATCGAGCGATGCGACCCGCCAGCACACATGCACGTCATGCGGCGGACGTGTACCCTATTACAAAGTCGATTTGCCTCAGCAAATCAGATGTTACTATTTTATTCTACTCGTATTGATTGGTTCGTTGAGTGCACAGCTTGACGGCATTCTGCTTTCTGTTAACGCTAGCTCCAGCCGTTGGCTTGCCTGATTATGGGTTGACGCCCTACTTGCTCACCGACCTGCAGACCAGCTACGTACATGTTTATGCACTACAAATAGACTGATTGGTTAGTTTCACTGTGCACTTTATTTATTTTCACAAACGAGATAACAACACACGCTTTCGTTTCTTTTACTCATCATCTACCTCGGCAAACAACATGCACCTTGGCACTCTGTGTAACGACAGGTAAAACACATCCCAGCCGAGCCAATCGATGGAAATCGACCAGTTGTTCTGGTGGGCTACCTTGGTTACCCAGAACTCTGCGCCTAACCTCAGTTTGCCTCTCGGGAGCAAACTGATGCTCTGAGGACAGGGCTGTTTCTAGAATGAGTTCGAACACAGGCTTGGACGTGTTAAAAAAAATTAAGTTCCCGGGTACACCCTTTAGGGAGAGGTAGTTTTCTTTCTTTACCGCAGCCGGCTCCAGACATAATCATGAAGTTACGTGGGGGTGATCTAGTTATGAGAAGCAGTAATCTGGGACCTGAAACTTGACGTGGCAAGGTATATAAGGCTTTGATGAAATAACTATCCGACAACAAAACCACCACCAACTAACATTTGTGGTCGGTAGCACACCAATAGTAGCAAGTTGAACGAACTAATTTGTTCAGGTTGCTGTTGTGTCCGCACATTTTTCCGATGGTGCTAATTTGATTCGTTTTGCCATTGCAAACTGGATTCACGTCAAACATGTGTGTTGGTAGTATTAGCTGTTTCCCGGTGATCGTATGACAGTTCTCTTTGGTTTCCCCAGTTTCGCTCTGTGACCTGTTCCATTGTTTTGTTTCTATGCTTTCAGGGCGCTATCTGTGATTTTTGCGAAGCCTGGGTATGTCACGGCCAGAACTGTATCAGTGTTCACGCGTGCGAATGCCCGATGCAACGTTCCGCGTGTGCCGAATGTAGCCGCACACTGACCGAGCACGGTGGACGGTTATTCTCGTGTGCATTTTGTCAACAAATGCTTTGTGAAGACGACCAGTTCGAGCATCAGGTTTGTGCATTCGTTCTTTTTACCTATCAGTGATTGCACATACACACGCGCGATTTTAACACGCTCATAAACATACGAATCTCTCAGTGTATTAAGCAAGTTCTGTCAGCTGTGCATAACGATCAAGTCGATCACCTGTGTATTGTAAATGCGTTAATCATTTTCATAACTAAGATTATGGGCTTGTAAGTGTCCATCACAGACCTTATTACTTCCTGTATACTGTTAGTGACGTTATGGCGCGCGGCTATTTCGGCGCAAACCATTGGTATGACGAATTTTCGCACCATCAACAAGAGTCAAAAAGGCATTAGCTTCTCATACGAACCGATAGAGAGAGGGCAATCAATAGCCGCATGCTGTTATACGGGTGGAAGTTGTCATGGCAGCGCAACTCATCACTCATCTACGGATGCCATATCAGGTCTACCGAAGCTCATGATAACAATCATTGGTCCACATGAGCCTTGTATCAAATAATTGAAATGAAATCGCTGTAGAACAATTCATGCAAAGGGGAAGGACGGTGCTTTGATATTGACAAACTCCTTATTCTCCTCGCAAGCCGCTTCTCGCAGTGTTTGGCGTTGATGGACAGTTCAGCACGTGAATCTGCTCTATCGTGACTGTAGAGCTTCTAAGTGTTCAGCAGGGTCCGGCAACCGAAGAAAACTGGGATAAAATGGTCTTAAATCACCACACATGGTCCGAAATGATCCGCGACACCTGTGGGACCGCAGGAGATATTCGCATAACAGTGAATGCTTCTGGTCCCGGATGTTTGCACCTGGGTAACCAGTGATATGCGCACCACCACCAACAACAACAATTCACATCAACGTGACCTCTTTCCAAAAAAGCTGGGGAATGCACTTTCCCGTATGATAAAAAAAGCGATACTGAATCTTCGTCCCCACAAGTCATTACTCTTTGACCTCACCGATTCCGTTTTATGAATTATTGTTTTCGGGAATCGTACAACAGAAGAAAGCGAACATCACTGACCGTCCTCGATGGACACAAGAATATGCAATGCGTGAAGAATGGAAGCAGTAATGTGCGTGCGAACACCTAGTTGAGCGATGAGATCCGCGAACAAGTAAAACCAAAACCACTGTCTGTCACACACACTATCCAGTGCATCCATTTACGAAATCTGTTGAACCGTGATCCGGATAGGCAATAAATTGCCTTTGACAATCCGTCGGTACAGTTTTTATGCAGTTTGGAGCTCCGCTTACTTCTAGTTCATCTATTTGTTTAAAAGCAAAATTTCGGACTAGGTGATGATTTTGGTTGTGAAGACCAATTTATTTTCGTAAAATTCTTGGTTCTTTTTTTCTCGGCAGGCCAGCTGTCAACGCTTGGAAGCCGAAAGCTACAAGTGTCCATCCTGTAATCGACTGGGTTCCAATACTTGTCTGATGTGCAAAATCACATTCTGTGACGAGCATGCCAAGCGAAAAGGAGTCAAGTACGACAGGGGCAGCGCAATTCCTTGCCCGAAATGTGGTCACCCGCTCACAGATAGCTACAACCTCAGCATGTCCAGTAAGTTCGTCGTTCACTGTCTCTTATATGTGTATATTGGTTTTCCCTCCATTGACTACCACCGGCCTAGGTCCATTTGTTAACGCATCCACTCTACTCACAATGCGGGGGTTGTCACCTACGCAGACCAGTTCACTAAAGGCCTCCACTACAGTTTTTGGTGACTCCTATCGGATTTCACGCATCATGCGCTTGACGTTTGGGAACACAAAAAGGTCACACGGACCGGGTGACTAACCTCCTCTAGCCAGAAAATCGCCCAATGACGTGAGACCTGTGTGCAGGTGCGTTCTTCATAGTGCAGCAAGATCCCTCGTGCTCGAGTCCTTGAACAACGCTCGGTAACAACCTCAGCACTCGGTAGATAGTGAGTGGTACACTAGTCTCCGATGATTGTGCTTTGCTGTACGCGCGGTACAGTTACCACATAAACACAGCCACCTTTTGCTTTGCCGCACTGCACTCGCGTCGGAGTTTCTGAGCCGGGGCCCCGCCAACCGGCGTCCACTGAGCCGATTGTTGTTGCTTGGTCCCCGGGTCGAAACTCTACACTGCGGGTCTCATCACAACTGATAATCTCGCAAACTGCATTGGAACTTGCACTATCAAGCCTGGCAAGCGCGGTGCTTCACCAGTTCCTCCGGAATGCTTTCCGTTCCTCACTGAACTGACTGTGTACTCAGCTTGCACAAACTTTTCTGAGGCGGAGCTTCTCGTCTAGGATGATGCGGATTGATCCCGATGGTTTTGCCCGGCTGTGCCACTGTCAACCGCGCCTCCTCCTCCTCTACCGTTGCTTGCACAGCAGCAATGTTGTCCGCTGGGGTTACCGCAGCAGGTTGACCACACCGTGTCTCACCATTCAAGGACCGTCCGAATTCCGAGAACCACTCAAACACAGTGCTTATTGAAGGCACGTCAACACAAAAGGCAACTCGCAAATGATCAATAATCCACAGCTGTTTTAAAACACATTTGTAGTCGCAGAAAATCATCCCCCACATCCAGTGTGATATCGACCGAGTTCCATTCCTACGGTCCAAATTAAGCGACCCTTATTAATTGGTAGCTGTGCTCAGCTGTTCATACTTGGTTCTGTGAGTTACAATCACTAAAGACTATTCACAATAGATTACAGATTACAT